TTATGATACTCTAAGGGTAACAAATTGGAAGAATCTGTATGGATAGGTGCATCCCCAGGCTGCTTCCAATCTTTACACAAAATGGCTGCAGCTATTCTATACCTCAAATTTCATGACACTATCTAGAAGAGAGTCTCTTTCAATAGATTGAAAAAGAAAGAAGAAGGTTTTCCTCCCTAGGAGCACTTACTGACATTATGTGACTTGGGCAGCAATAAAGGTGGGATGGCAGAGATGGGAAGAATTTCAAATAGACTAAGCTACTCAAGGTACCATGGAAATAGGAATGAGATTAATTCATCCAAGTTCAAAGGGCTAAAAATGACAGGAGAGTGCAGAATACCATCAAAGGTAGCAAAAAGGAATAAATGCTATGGAAGGAACTAACAAATGCCCACTACTAGAACTATATGCAGATTTACTTTTTAAAAAATTTTGTTTTTAAATATTACTTCCCTTCACAAAAGCTCCTATTCTGGGTTTGTTTGTTTATGGTCGGGGGATACCCAGGATCAAACTCAGGGGTGCTCCACCAATGAGCCACATCCCCAGCCCTATTTTGTATTTTAGACAATACTGAGTTACTTAGCACCTCACTTTTGCTGAGGCTGGCTCTGAACTCAAGATCCTCCTATCTCAGCCTCCCAAGTCGCTCAGGCATATGCCACCACACCCAGCTCCTATTCTATTTTCAACACACATTTTTCACAACTTCTATGAGAGTAAATGTTCATATTAAAACAAATTTACCAAGGGTCCAAATTAATTATCCATATGACACAGCATGAAGGAAGAGCAAAAGGAGAAATGTGAAATTCAAGTTAATGGCAATTTGGTTAAAATAATATACTTATTAGACATAGGGATTTAGTATGGTACTGCCTGAAGACTTAGATGGCAGGTAAATAAAAAGACCATAAATCAGGACTGTGGTTGTGGCTCAGTGGTAGAGCACTTGCCTAACGTGTGAGGCACTCAGTTCAACCCTCAGCACCACATAAAAATAAATAAGTAAAATAAAGGTATTGTGTCCATCTACAACTAAAAAAATTTTAAAACAAAAGACCTTAATTCTTTTCCTAAAGAACAATATGCTCATAAAGCAACTACTACATTGAAACCAATGATTGTCTTCGGTAATTGATTACATACCTAAAGTTTTGAAAAAACTTTTTAATCTATACTCTCCCTTCCACTCCTCTCAATACAAGCAACCTCCTGTCTATCACTACAACCACTTCAATAAGGCAATCACCACTTTTGAAAATCTGCCATCTTTGCATCAATCTTGCAATACCTTCTAATTCTTCCCAACAATACTGCCAAGATAATGTTACTAAATATGAATCTGATGACATTACTCTTTTTAAAGAGCTTTAATGGTTCCCAGTCATCTTCGATATGAAATGTATTTTACATGGAACATAAATATTATGGGCTAATTCCTCTGCCAAGAATGACCAACCCCAACATTTTTAATCATACTACTACTAAACTTAGCTCAAGAATTACAAACTTTCAGTGAGCATGATGGTGCACACCTGGAATCTGAGCAACCTGGGAGGCTGAGGCAGGAAGACTACAAGTTGGAGGCCAGCCTCAACTTAGTGAGACCCTGTCTCAAAATAAAAAATAAAAATGACTGTGGATGTAACAGCTCATGGTAAAGCACCCCTGTGTTTGATCCCAGTACCACAAAAAAAAAATTTTTTTTTAATTTACAAACTCTCAGATTACACTTCCAGGCTCAGTTGGCTCCCCCTTACCTGTTACTACTGCATAGTGCCCACAAATAGGAAATGAACAAAAGTTCTCATTCAAGAAATACACAAATATAAAGCTTTAGAGGTCACTATCTCTTAAGGCCATTGAATATTAATTATGTAAAAGTTTCTTTCTGAAAGGTTTTAATGCAAAGAAAAAAATATTATACAAATGTTTCCAAACAAAGTGGCTGCTTCAGTTGTTCTGCCCTAAAAATGGGAGGGGGGCTTGAAGGAAAAGAAGCAGAAAAATAGGAGAAATAATAATTGCTATTAATATTATTTAATAACTATCTTTATTATAAAGTAGCAGACTGAAATTATAGCCATTACAAAACAACTTAATATTCAAAGGATAGATACATAAATGAACATAATAAGGTAAGGGTAGAAAAACTCCAAAGGTAAAAATAAGACACTACCCTTTATCAATATGTTTTTTCTATAAATCTTTGTTTTTGTAACAAATTTGAAATCTTAAAACTCAGCTTATTAATTAAAAATAAAGATTTACAGTCAAGTACCATGGCCAAAAAAAAAAAGTAGAAATTATTTAAAACTTGCAGTAAAGATTAAATATAAAATGTCTTACTTCATTGTAACTTATTTAAAAAGTATCCCTTCCAAGTACAATGCAATTAGATTTGTAATAAGTTCTTGAGTAGTTCAGAATGAGCATTTTTCAGGTAACACCTGTAAGCATACTGGGAGAATGTTAACTAGCAAAGAAAAAAAGGAAAAGCTTCTCACATTTAGAAAGATTTTGCCTTAAGATCTACCTAGCACCCAAAGGGAAAAATAAAGCTCCAAATATTATGGGCTAATTCCTCTGCCAAGAATGACCAACCCCAACATTTTTAATCATACTACTACTAAACTTAGCTCAAGAATTACAAACTTTCA